TCTACCACTATCTCTGCAATAGCTCTACCACTATCTCTGTAATGCTCTACAGCTGTCTCTGCAATACCTCTACCGCTATCACTGCAATACCTCTACCGCTATCTCTGGAATACCTTTACTGCTATCTCTGCAATACCTCTACCACTATCTCTGCAATACCTCTACCGCTATCTCTGCAATACCTCTACCGCTATCTCTGCAATACCTCTACCACTATCTCTGCAATACCTCTACCGCTATCTCTGCAATACCTCTACCGCTATCTGCACTATACCTCTACTGATATCTCTGCAATACCTCTACCGCTATCTCAGCAATACCTCTACCACTGTCTTTATCAACTTTATAGAACAGAACATAATGCCAACAGCACTACATCGAATGGACCCGCTTACATGTGCTTAGACAAGAAAGGAATCTTTTAATGACACTAGAAGAGTGTCAAACTAATACGAGTAAGGCATACGCCGCAGGACGTGGACCACACGCAAACATGAATGTCCAATGGTCCAAGAGAGTTTAGCATTTGGCGGCACTAGGCTCTTTCACTATAGCCGGCCTTTCTAGTGACTGAACAAATGTACCTATGCTTCCTTTAAGTTTCTATTCTACATGATTTACATGGTTTCTACATTACACACTATGTATAATGACATAAAGGCGGCAATACAAGTCATTATTCACAGGACTCCCCGAGGCAGGCAGTTTGCCAGGTTTTGCAGTGCCTAAGTCCTTTAACACGGAAACTACATATAAAATCAGCTGACCTTAGGTAGAAGATAATAGCACAAACTGTCGCTTTACAACTGGGGAGACATGATAATAATTAAACACTATAATTCTCTAGAAAAACAGTTCATTGAATAGGTAAAAATAAACCTAAGAAACTTAGACTGGAAGGGCTCATTTTTTTTAGACCCAACAACTTACTACTCTGAGAACTAGTACTGTGGTACTATCGCCAGGATATCAATGCAGAAGTACACTGATAAAAATAGGCCTGTCGAATAACAAAATTGTTCACAGCACAATTTGGCATTCCAGATATCTCTGACAGGGTGAGCCACTGCTAGGTCTAATTCAGATTTAGGAAATACCAGGGAAGGTAGTAGGTACATTAAACACTATATGACAGTATTGATCATGAATTTGCAACTGGGTCCTTGATTTCTACTACTCTTGTCACTTTTGATAACAAATGCAATATATCTCTATCATAAGTCGATCTCCATAAGTCTGGCGCTATTTACATGATTGGAGGCTCTCCGACAATTACCTAAGAGAGAGTTCTCTATCCAAATGTTGATATACATGTGTTCAACAACATCACCAGGCATCACCAAAAATTTATCTTGATATATCTGATGAATACGTATGGGGATGGTTATTTGATTAACGTGATTGGAGACCAACAGACACTGGAACCCATTGCCCGTGTTGTATTTCTCTGACTTTAGTTCCACACAAAAAAAACATTACACCAACCACTATTAAATAATACAGGGCGAGCTTAGGGCTATAGTTCAAGCATATGACGCCATTGATTCAAAGATAATGTCTTTGATCACATCAACTGCTAAAAAGTCTCCCTAACAGAATATCTTCATCGGCCATTATTAGACAGAAATATTCCAGAGGACAGTAGGTCTGAACCACTTTGAGGATTTCGAATTGACACAATTGTTTATTTGGAACTTCAGACAGAGTAGCCGCCACTTAGGTGTATTCCTTTGAATACCTTTGTATTCTGCTTGAATCGATAACTTAATATCGATTAGGTGTAGGGTAAGTAAGGTTAAATGTATACAAAATAACAAATTCGTCTACGTGATGATTTGCTTCCATTACTACGTCTTCCGCAGTTTCAGTCTATGGAATATCAAGTACTAATCGAATGCCGGGTGCTATCGAAAACCTCACACAACCGATTTCCGGAAATATCGAGGGTTATATTTCTGAACAGTTTCTCTTCTTTGAAAACTATTTAATGCGATGTTGAGAACTGTATTAAGTCAGGCAGCTGATGCAATCGTGGTTGTCTTCGCTCTATTATAACAACATTGTAAATGTGCAATTGTTTCATTTCGATGTTTGTTGAAAATACATCTTTTTTTGGATTTTCAGTTGTTTATTTGCATTAAGCAAAAAAAAAGCAAAGATTTGTAAAATGACAGAAGGCACAAACGTAAGAAAAAAAGACACGCACCGCACTTTGTTTTGGAATAGAAACAGTTTTCTTAGCCTTACTTGGAAATACAAATAACCTATTCTCTGTATTACGCCCTCTAGCGATGCAGTTTTTTGTAACGTTAACGGGTGTAAGAAACTTTGTTTACATCGCCGATATTGCTTTAATTCTTTGTCGTCCATCAATTTTAATACATTCTTCCATACTAGAAAATAATAGACATGAACTTACGCATCAATTACGACTTTATAGTCCAATATACCCGATATTAGCCTTGCAGCAAACCTGCAAATAGAAAACTTCACATGTGATATACTGTCAAATACTCCATTTTCGCTTGAAATTGATTTTCGCTGAAGGAATGATTCAGTGAAAATAAAATCCAGTGAATATACCTCTTTCCTATATTTTACATTCAACTCATCAAAACAAAACACCCAAAACGTATTTTCGGTGAAAATTATTTCCAGCTGAAATAAATTATTTTCTCTAAACGCCTTTAGTATTGATTTTTTATCACTCTACGTTTGAAGACCTACAATTTTATTGCGCATCTGAAAACATGCCAAGTCAATCTTTTGAGTTTCATTCATCTTTTAGTGGAAAGATCTCTCAGGTAAATTTCGCTTAATCACTCAGTACAGTGTAAGACAACTGTTCTGCATCACTAATGGATCTGAATATATTGTAAATGTTTCTTGCTAGAGGGATTACAATCAAAGGTTCTTGTTATCTGATAAAACCAGTCCGAGAGTATACGTTGCATCTGTGACGATCATGCCACTGGTGGCGCTCTTGCCAATGCCGTGCCAGCATGGGTATATGCGACTCAGCGGAGTACGTACGTGACATGAGTTTTAATAATTAAAGCGGGGGAGTCTTTATACGGAAATTGAACCTTTGCGATTTTAGCGTGAGTTGTTGTCATGGCCTTGGACACCCCTCCGTCTACTTACTTTAACTGTCCAGCTTGATCATGGAACGGTTGTTTCGGGAAAACCATGCCAGGGTTAGAACTTATCGGTAGTGGTAACGGATTTCGAAGATACATGTCGTCAAGCCACCAATCGTACACCTGAGAAAGATAAAAAATAAAGGCAATAGCCGAATGATCCTAAAATACCCCTGGTAAATTAAAAAAAAAAAACGATCTTGGAAATGTTTTATTAAGTTGTGATCCAGCTAGTAACGACAAATGTTATTAATCCCGACCCATCAAATAGTATAGACAACAAAATGAATACTTTCAGTGACCCAACACTTCAAGTGGCAATTAAATGCGTTTCCATTTACTGCCAATCAAATCGAGTGTGCATTTTTCATCAGTAAGAGACAACACTGAGTAATTTTAACAACCACATCAACGATTGGCGACACAATCAAATACCAGTATGTTACACTATTTTGGACACACGTTGCCAGCCATATTCTAGCTATTTACCAATACAGTACATCGCCGACTTGAGAAAATGATAAGATAATAGGGTGAAATAAGAAATGTACAATCAGCAAGGAAAATAGACTATCGCAGCATTGAAAGGACACTTAAGTTACTTGTCCGCGATGAAAAAACATCAGTGCAGTCACATTGTAGATGAATTAATTAATGGATCTTTGACATGTCACGTTTATTGTCGTATCACAACGATAACTATACTCATATAACTAGTACATATTTTTGTGTTGAGGTGTTCGTTGTTTTTTTTTGTTTTTTTTTAAAGCAGTCCTTGGCACGTATTTTCAGTTTTGGTACATTTAAATATTATTACTAAAAAACATAAATCGGAACATTGCCGACATTATATATTGTGGGGAAATCGTAGTTTCTAATGTAACCATAACATTGATGTTAGACTGAAAAATCTAAACCGCCAAAGTCTGTTGAATAACCATGTTAATGTTACTTCGAATTAATTGATCACGTTCTATTCACAGGTAGTTGTTCGCGCAGATTTAGTTAGTAGAGGGCACGGTGGAACTCCATGCAGCACCGTACACCGAGATTACATTGTGTATTGAATTCTATTTGTAATTGAAAAGAAAACACAACCTCGGAATATTTTATTAAATTTCTTGCCAAGAATGAAACTCCATACCCGTACTTTCTTCGTTAAAATAATCAAATCGGCGTTAATTTCAAACAAAAAACACGCTCTACATTTTCCCAAGGTTGGGTAATTAAATTACTCTATACACAACAAAACCAATCCAATTTCCAATACAAGAAAAATAATCAATTTGCTGAACAGAGGTTGGTTGAAAATGCTTCCGGCAGTAGAATGAAGTCTATAGACTTAGTTACTCTACCGTTTTAACGCCATTGAATGTAAAGTCACATGATCTTCAGCCTATATAAATAGCCCCAATCGTTAACGAACAACAGCGCTTTACTAATCATTTTATTTATCTGTTTTCATCCATACAATAATATAGGCCAGGTTTCAAAAAATAACTCCTAACTGCTTATCTAAGAAGAATATATATATGTATATATATATCTAAATTTGGAAACATCTAAATAAATGTACACAAAATTAGCAATATTTACCCTGATTTCGAATAAAACTATTTTTCGAGCTCCACAACCAAAACTATGCTATTATGTCAAAGATATGATATATTGTCGCTCTTAAATCAATTACCAAACATAAATATGATTGGATAAGGAGGGTCTATATTGATCCTGGGCATTGCTACTGTATATTAAATAAATACTTTGTTAATAATGCTCTATATAGACGTGAGGGTACTATCCAAAACATGGTGTTTGTGAACTAGTACATTACTAGTGTATATTAAATAAATACTTTGTTAATAATGCTCTATATAGACGTGAGGGTACAATCCTAAACATGGTGTTTGTGAACGAGTACATGACTAGTGTATATTAAAGAAATACTTTGTTAATAATGCTCTATATAGACGTGAGGGTACTATCCTAAACATGGTGTTTGTGAACTAGTACATTACTAGTGTATATTAAATAAATACTATGTTAATAATGCTCTA